GTAATTGGAGACACATATCATGCTTTGCTCACAGTCTTAACCTTGTTGTCCAATCATCTTTGCAGGAAATAAATGTCACAAGGGAAAAAGTGAAAAGTATTGTTGAATACTTCAAAAGAAGTACGGTTGGCTCTGAAAAATTAAATCAAATGCAACAACAGTTAGGTTATTCCCCTGTACGTTCAATGATTCAAGATGTTGTTACCAGGTGGAATTCTACTTTTTTTATGTTTCAACGATTTTTAGAATTAAAAACACCACTGCTCTCTGCGTTAGCTGATTTGAACCACGACAATAACTTGACATCTAATGATTGGGAAATAATAGCTAAGTCGTGTGATATATTAAAACGGTTCAATGAAATCACCATCGAAATGAGCAGTGAAAAAAGTGTAACCATATCCAAAACAATTCTATTTAGCCAGGCATTGTGTAACTACTGTAGTAAACTAAAATCAGAATATCAAACACTCCCTGAAATTAAAAATTTCATAACAAAATTATCTGAACAAGTTGACAATAGATTTAAACATGCAGAAAAACACATTTTGTTAGCAGAGGCGACCTTTTTGGATCCTCGATTTAAAAAATTTGGGCCAGGGGCGGACTGGGAATACTTCAGCCCAGGCGGAGAAGAATATGAGCGGCCCAACCTTTTTTTACATAGTTAATGAAAATGTTTAGTTGTCTTTATAATACCTATTTACTTAGTTTTTATGTTAATAAGTTCTAAAATTCTGAAATAATAGTAATATAAGTAAATCATGTTACAGAAGAAAAAAGTTTATTAGAACATAATGTAATTAAAATTTATGTAAACATATTTAGCATTAAAGTTGATGTACTTTTAAGGTAATTAATAATATCGGATACTTCTACATCTTCTAACATCTGTTTTTCAATTGACATAATCAGTAATGCTTCTAAATTTTCTGAGCTTAAATTAGAACGAAGACGATTTTTTGTTATTTTAAGTCTACTGAATGTCCGTTCACAATTCACTTGTGTTACAGGTAAAGTTAAAAAAAATTCATAAGCTTCACAGAGATAACTATAAGATGAAACATGTAAATTTAATGAATATAATACTTTGTACGCACAGTTTAAGCAATTTTTCGGATCATGATCGATACTTAAAGAACACTTCTTCTCCTGGTAGAAATCATTACCTACAACAATTTCAAGTATTACATGCATAAATAATTCATTAATAAAATTTAGGAAAATATTTATCAGTTATTATTAAACATACCAAATAATTCAAGAGTATTATCTTCTAATATATCAGAAAATTCATTAATTGATTCTTCATTATTATCATCATCTTCTGAAACATTATATTGCTCTTGATACATTGTCTGAGTGCGTTCTTTAATTGATGTAGATATTTTTGGAAAAACTGCAATAAAACTCTTTAACTCTGAATGAAGTTTATCTTTTGGAATGTTTGACACTTCAGATAAATATGTTAAAGCTATGTTTGGCATACTAGCAACCAAATCAAAATTTTTTGGAATAAAATACTGAATATCAGCTATTAACTGACTGTTGGCAAAAAATCTTTGATTTAAACTACTTATTATTTGGTCTTTTATTTCTTCATATGTTCCAACTCTAAACTTATTAATGGGAACAGACAAAACTTCGTCTGAACATTGTTCGTCGAAAAATGATTTTTTTTTGCTAATTCTTGAAGTTGGAAATGTATTGCTGATATTAATTTCATCAGGAAAATTTAAAGTACACAGTTTTTCATTAATTTTTTTAATGAATTCTTGGGATTCCTTATAAATAGTTTCAAATTTTAATTTAGGAATTTCTGATTTAGTCACTTCTACCATATCCCATGCAGTCAACAGATCCATGTTTTTAGTCTGCAAATATCTTGAAGTTGGTCCAATTATTTGAAAAATTTTCATAAAAATATGAGCAGTCAGTATTAATTTAAAACTACACAGTTTTTCAATCAAAGATGATGCCTCAGAACAAGTTTTTGAATCAAAATCTGGAGACTGAATTACAAAATTCAATGCACTAATGACAGTCAAAAATAAACATTGTTTTATCAATTATTTTCACAATTATGTACTTGAAGATGTTATTATTATTGTCTACATTATAATAATACTGTACGGTGACGATAACTGTGAGACAGTCTCATGACGACGAGCCACAAAAAGTGCAAATGTATAGACGCTGAATTCGTTTGTCATCCAGTCCAGCCGAATTCTTACATTATTTTTTACGTTGATTTATTATACAATTCGAAAACTCGACGCTATTTGATAACAATTTCTTAGACACTCACGTCGAAATAAACCACTTCCGCGTAGATCAGCGGGACGACCGGTCCCCATCCAATTGAATACGACCACAGATACATGCACACGAGTATGATGTGCACGTATTTGTGCCACTCGTTCGATTCGATTGGAGAACTGCAGATGTCTGTGATTGGATAGAATGACTGGTATAGCATCAGCGTCGCCAGACACGTGCCCATACTGATGGCCGACGCAATTAACATGAACTTGCGGCCCAAAAACTCAACTAGCTCGACCGTGGTGAGACACAGCAGGACCTGCGGGAAACCCGGAGGACGCGTTATTGTTACCGACTAATTTTCTCTAATGAGAACCTTTCATAATTGGAGTGGGTTTATCGTCAATCAAGATGTATTTGAAAACACGTTTTTGTAAATTTTACTACGCATTGAAAGGGATAATTAAGACACACTACTTACCTAGCAAGTTTCGGAAATGATTTAGTAATAAACATACTGTCAAACAAGCAACTTAAAAAATATATTTTAAATAAAGATCGTATTTTATTTTCATACGAGGAAATTTAGTTCAAGACATTATTAATCTTACAGATATTCTGGATCAGTGATTCAAGTATAGATATGGAATAGCTCAGTAAAGGGATTCAATTCCCACAAAAACAGGCAAAACTTAATAACACAAGTACACAACTTAATTAACTTGTTGGCCCATGCGACGGCTGATAAATGTATAGAAAAAAAATAGTTACCCCCGGCGTGATTGTCGTCACGTTAATGTTTTTATAACAGTTTTACGTTCCTACCCAGCTATATAATTTATGTAAATATTTAATTTTTTTTTTCCGAAACCGCTCACTTGGACCACGAACACTATCGTAATGATTTTTTGCGTGTCGCCGTATACGCGTTCGTCGCTGTAGCCAGCGATTTCTGTGGTCAAACCGAATCCGCCGATCACCGATTTGGCGTGAAACATCGTCGCACTCGCGCCGCAAGTCTGCTGCAGCACCACGAGTCTTGCGCCGATGTCGACGATCCTCCGTGTCAGGCGGCTTCTGTTGTCACTTGTCACCGATCATGCACTCGAACACAGATTGCGAATGATGATTACTGACCGAGACCAATACGTCCCCACAACAACTGAACAACCGTATTTACTTTTGGTTATTATTTATTAATAGCACAGTTACTATTATACAGCCGTTGCTCGCTTATCCCATCTGGGTGTGCCGATAAATTTCACGACTATTAATAAACATTTATGTACAATTTCGGTAATTGGTTAAAATAGTTTTAACGTTTCTCTTATCGGGGATATTGTTCACTATTATTGTTTTGATATACATTTTACGTTACCAACCCTGTACCAATTCTGTCATGTACTCTTGTATTATTATTTATTTTGTATACAACAGGCTGTGAAGTCTTCGACTTATAAAATCAAAAATTATTCCATCATATTATTGCAGTACAAATTATTAATAATCCTATTTTCCTATCGGCCCGTGCGCGCCGGCTGCCCGGGCGGACTTTTCCGCCTCTCCGCCCGGGCCAGTCCGCCCCTGAATTTGGCTTTAAAAACAACTTTGCTTTCCAAGATGTAAAACGATCAATTATAAACAAAGACAAATTAATTTTAAGCCAACAACAGCAAAATAATGCATTACCTGTACCAGCTTTGTCAGAACCGGTAAACGTTGAAATGAACCAGAACATAGATTCTATTTGGAACGAATTTGACACAGAAGTAAGCGATATAATTCAGTCTCAAGATCCTACCGCTGAAATCATAAATGAAGTTAATAAATATCTCCAGGAGCCACTGATTCCAAGAACTGCAGATCCGCTTAAGTGGTGGAACGAAAATAAAAACATTTATTCGACATTATTTATAATAATGAAACGGCGCTTATGTGTTCAAGCTTCATCAGTCCCGAGTGAGCGTGTATTTTCAAAGGGTGGTCAAATTGTAACAGTAAAACGTAGTAGACTGACTAGTAAAAGAGTAGAACAAATAATTTTTTTAAATTGTAATTTAAAATAAAATTTTACTAATTTTTTTTATCTACTTATAACCTCATGTAACAGTAGGTATACATTTTGTTTTTATAAAAGGTTTTTATATGTAACAGTACACATTTTTTTTTTTTGTTTTTTTAAAGTTTTTAAAGTTAATAAGTTTATATTATGTAGTCAAAATAATTAAATATGAATCACAACATTCATAAAAATGAATTCCACAATTTGGTTAATAATTAATAAAGTATATTATATTATTACTTACTTAATACTTAGTTTAAAATACTAAATAGGTATTAAATGATACGTCTTATCTAGTATCATGATTTTAACCACAGTTATAGTATTTCAAGATAGGTTTCAACCACGGTTGTAGATAAGATTTATCTATAAAAGTGCAGTACTGCAGTGATTTGAGTGATTCGAATTTCGAATGATTCGATTCAAAGATTCACGTTTGCAGTGTAGCCATTGAACCGATTCATTTTAAAACACTGAATCAATTCAATCGGTTCATCTAACTGAATCGATTCACTGAATAGATTCATTCATGAATTACCCATCCCTATTAATTTTATTTAATTATTATTAATTAAAAAATTATTTAATTATTATAAAAATTAAAAAGCAAAGGAAATAGCAATGTCAATCCCGAAGAAAAACTCTTCTATTGTTTGGAAGCACTTTAATTAATATTATGTATTATTTTATAGCAAATTCAGTTGCAAGAAGTTTTATTGGTTCTTACAATTCAACAGCCTCTACATCATCAACCAGTTCTTCTTGTCAGACTACCCAAGGCCTTTCCAGTCGTACTCCAAGGAAAGATAAGCTCCGAAAAATGTTAAGTCACCAAAAACATAAGTATAATGAACTTCAACAAAAATTTAATATTTATAAAAAAAACTATGCTAATAACCAAAAAACTATGGCTTCATTAGAACATTTTCAATTAATGTGTGATAAATTCCTTGATAAAGGGTTTTCAAATTTTGTTAAAGTTCAATTCAAACTGAGTCTAAACCAATCCAAAGGTCGTAGATATTTTTATGAGACAAAACAATTTGCTCTCATGATACATTTTTTAGGCCCTAAAGTGTATAGATTTCTTCAAAAATCAATGAATTTGCCTTCACCTAGAACTTTAAAGAGAACTACTGAAAACTGGGAAATAAATCCTGGTTGTAATCAATTTTTGTTTACAGTTTTAGCGAAAGTAAAATCCATGGAACCTAAGTATAAACAATGTGTGTTGTGTGTAGATGAAATGTCTCTTAAATCTTCTCTTTACTATGATATTAAAAAAGATGAAATCGTAGGTTTTACTAACCGTGTTCATAAACAGTCATATTTCATTGAATGGTTGATAATTTGATAATGGATAATTTTGTTTATTACAACAAGTTTTTCTATACTTATGTTAACCGAATAAAGAAAATACATTGTTATTCTATTTCTAACGTGTTTGTTCTTTAAACCTAGTATTTCATTCCAAGTCCAATTTGTCCCATTATAATATTGTATCATTATAGCACAGAACAATTAGACTAATTTGAGTTGTTACTTATAATAATTTATTTTTCATATTTTAAGTATATCAATATTACATTTTGGTAAAATGAATAAGGATTTTGTTTTAATATAAATTAAAAACTATAATGTAATTTTACATTGGTTTATTGTTAATGAAATAATATATTGTATTATTATTCTGTGGACTGATAATATTGATATGATTTATTTAAATGATAACATATGCCACGCCCCCTTAGAGACCGTGCTCAAGGCCACAGTCACCCGATTTTGCCAATACACAGAGTGTCTATACCCTGTTATAATATTCGATAATAAAATAATCGATAGTTGGAAGGCGTACCCCATCTATCAAATTAAAAGAGTAACCACCAAATAACGGGCGTAAGCGACAAAACAATATTTTTGAGAGTAAGCGCCACAGCTGTTTATAATAATTTTTAATATTTTTAAATATTTTTTATCGGTTTTAATTGGTTGGTTATTATAATTATTGATAATATCTAATAATATTATTATCTATTATAGTTGCCACACAAAATAATAATAAGTATTGTGTTAATATTATAAGTGTTTACTGTTTACTTGCACGATTTGTGTGGAACGTGTATTTAAATTATATTTTATGTAATTAGATTTCAATACATCTGGTATGTATAAATCTATTTATCAATTATAAAATAATATAGGTACCTATTAACATTATAATAATTAATATTATTAATAGGTTTATTACCACATTGACAGTCATCACCGCTATAGGGGAATAGGCGATACGGCAATTTACTTATCTGTAACATTGTCTCACCGTATGGCGTGTGGTATAGAAATGTTATCTTTATTACTGTGGTATTATCGGCGTTGCCACACTGTCGTGGCCCAAAACGTGGTTCGGGTGTGCCGATTAATACTCGTGCTTTGAACCAAAACCAGAAGGTTGTAACGAACACGAAATGTACATGACGCGCCATCTAACCAAAACACGACACAGTACAACAGCCGCTCATCAGTGTCAATAGAGTGCGCACTTCCCCGAGGGAAGACTGCGCACCAATACCAAACACCTAAGCGGCCATGCAAAAACATATCGGTTCTGCACGCGCTGTCGACCGGCAAACTACATATAAGGAAGCCCGGCCGACACCACAAATTGTCTTGTGTAGCTCCAGCAGTAACTGGCTAATATCACCACGGTCCTCGGCCACCTTTATGGAAGGCTAGAACCAAAGGAGATATTCGGCCTAGACTACTAGAGCTATTCGCCGCGCAAATACGGGTCAGAGCGCGCAGAGTAACTGCCACCGCCGTCGTCTATTCGTCTTTTTTGTTTCCTTTCCGCGCACCACGCTCTCGGCCACCCTCCGTGGGTAGGTTAGAACGTGCCGATCACTCTACCGCCGCCGTAAGTAATTCTACCGCCGCCGTATTTATACCACCGCCGTAATTGTACCGCCGCCGTATTTATACCGCCGCCGTAGTTATACCGCCGCCGTATTTATATCGCCGCTGCTGTGATTATCACTGTACTGCGACCACGACACCGGATATTGCCCGTATCTGTGTATTGCCGCCCGAATTGTTACGACGTGGTGATACCTACTCACGACATACTAAGTACTAATATTATTGATATACATAGTTACTACTTAAAACTACAGAGCCGTGAGTACATAAGAATTTATAATTGTGAATGGGAATATCATATGTAAAACCGCGAGTTATATTATATTCTTAACGTATACGTACGAAAACGTATACGTCATAATTAAATGAATATTCAGTTTATATTACTAATTATCATCTTTTTGTATTATATAATTAATATATTTGTGTTCAATAAAGATTAACATGATTACCAAAATCCATGCATTGTGATTTAATAAATATTTGTATAGGAATAGGCTCAAAAAACCTACCCGTTACAAGAGGTATGTAATAAAAGAGGTATGTAGGTAAAATGAGAAGTAACAAATTCGGCGTACGGTCTGTAGTAAACCGACAGAGTCGCTTTCCTATAATTATACATCATAAGGACTTTGCACTATATGATATATTGATCAACAACTATAACATGCCCTGAGGTGTATTACCTACTTCAAGAACACCATTGGAAATCACATAACGATTTCTAATAATACATATTGCCAAATAAACCAGTTCGCAACTCAAGGTTTATTCGACAACTTTAACATTTACGTCGGTACCTTTCAAACCGCCGGTATTCCTTTGATCCACCTCCGAGTCTCTACCGTGTACCTAATAACCAAGGGAGACTTTGTATATATATTCGAGTCTCCGTCTGTATCTAAATTAGAATTAGCGCAGTGCTAGTACGACGTAGGTACATACTTGTAAGTACTTAGTATTAACCACTAATCTCTCGGGCAGACGCTTATCGCTCTGTCCTCAAATTTCTATATTCAAATATTCAAATGTAATACCATTATATTATTATTAACTTTAAAATAAATTACTTAAATTATAACGTTGTAACTTGTAACTCTGCAACCTTTTCTCCTACTCAATCATCAACGTCGTCAAACTCAAAATATAAGCGTTAGTGAGGGATCACTACAGGTCGATGGTGTATATTTTTAGGCAAACAAATAATTCAAAAAATGTTATTCTACGAGTAAACTTTGTTGCGCGAAAATAACAGGGTGAGTCGTCGAGACGTATGGCTGCTCGAGCTGAGAGCGAAAAAGCGAGTGGCGAGAGTAGCGCGCGACGGCTGCTTCGTGCGCGTAACCGTAACGGCGAAGTCGCCGAGCGAGGCGGAAGAAAAAGTTGAGCGGCGAGTTGTCACGTGACCAAAGACGGTACAACATAAAATAATATAATTCACAGAGATGATAAATAAAACGAATACAAAATAAATCACATGACGAGTACAATATAAAAATGGTAATATAAAAAGGGCGCGCTAGCGTAAGTGGTGATAACACGTCGGAATCACCACATTACTATAAAAGTAATAAGTTGTTGTCATTATTACTACACGATAAGGTGTTAGGTGGTCACGATGGTCGGTATGGATGATCTGATAATTTTATAATTTAGTTAGTCTGCGGAAAGTGAAGTAGGTACCTGGTACACCTACCTATACGTAGTCACATATTTTGTGTAGGTATTATTTTTTTTATCATTCGTAAAAGTTAAGTAATGTCAAAAGTAAAATCAAAAAGAAACAAAAACGTGATCCCCGTGGATGGTTTTATGTTCGTATTTGATAAGCTTAGTGCGGACGAAACTAAACGGTTTTGGCGATGTCGTCGTAAAGATTTGTCTTGTCCGGCTAGAATACATTCCTACCGGTATACATATTTTCTGCTAAAAAACATTGTCATGATTCTGAAGCGGCTACAATATAAGCAGACACAGCTATAACGAGTATGCGTCAACGAGCTATTTCAACAACGGAACTTACGTCTTGTGTAATTAATGAATGTGTTAACGGGCTATCAGATACGGCAAAGGTACACACATTCAGGCGCGTACTGGCTCACCGGGATACCGGGAAAATCCCGGTAGGCCCTCTTAAAAATTATGAGACCTGGGCCCCCTACCAAATAGGTACATGTAGTTTCAGTTAAATTCAGTAATTTTATTATTTTAAAATTATTTTATTTGAAAAGAGAAAACTACATAAAGGACAAATAACGAATTTCATTGGTTAGTTATTGACAGTTGGTGTACCTCAGGGGGTGGCTATAGTTCTATTCACGTGAAGTCAGCAAAAGGTCGTGTAACATAGTAATCATTTATGACTAAACAAAAATCCCAGTATTGATTTATGTTTGTTAAACTGTAAACTGATGATACAGAAAATATTATTATCATTATTATCTTACCGGTATTATTATTACTCAATGATAAGACATCATCATTCATCAACTGAGTCCACATTTACCGAAGACTAACATTTGTCACTTATGTACTTACGTCCAGTGCCGGCAGTAGGGTCATTGGCGCCCTGGGCGAGTAAACGAATTTGCGCCCCTCCCCATATGAATAGTAGTCATTTTATTTTAAATTAAATTAAATTCAAGTGCCATCATTTGATAGTTCCTTTACTTACGTCAACAAATCATATTTAAAAACATCACTTATGCTTATTGTACTATTTATAAATAAATATAATATATACTGTATTATTTTATTAAAAAAAAACAAACAAACAAATGCATATCATATTACAATTAACAGTTCGTTATTTATTTATATATTTTAACAAAAAAAAGAAGATACCTAAGGCCTTGATAAAAACTTTTCTTGCTTTTGATTTCGCAAAATTTTTAATAATTTCTGAGAAATCCATTCTTTGAGCTATTTCATTTTCAATAGAAAGGATTGCTAGAGATGTCAATTTTTCGTCTCCCAATGTCGAACGCAGATACGTTTTAATAAGTTTTAATTTCGAAAAACTTCTCTCACCACTAGCAACAGTAACAGGAATTGTTAATAAAATTCTTAAGGGTATCCAGGTGTTTGGGAAGAGATCAGATGTATTAGATTGTAACATATATTCCAATACTGCTTTTGGAGAAGATACATCTTTTGGTAATAGAGTTTTAATATGTTCTAATTCAACACATAAATCTACTCCGTTGATATCATTTTTAAGTGTATTATGTAAATCCATACAATGTTTTACCAAAGTATCATGTTCAGGCAAATCATAAATATTATATAAGAATCCCCATGTATTTTTATGAGATTCCAACTGTTCAAAACGTGACTGTATTGATGTTATACTTGTATCTATAAGACAATAGAAAAAATCTCTTTTAAATTCCTCTTCTGGAGTAGGTTCATAATTGTCTAAGCTTTCATATTGAAATTGTATTTTAGTTAGTCTATGTCTTTTGGGTTTGAAACTTGTTTCCACATTTAAAGTTTCAGCAATTTTTTTAGCAGATGAAAAATATCCTGTATTTCGATAAGAAATAATATAATTTAAACAACCTTTAACAATTGAAGTGGCTGTGATTATGTCCATAGTGATTCCTTGCATTGATTTACTAGCTACATTGATTTGAAACAGTAAATCGTACCAAACAACAAGTGAGATAAGAAATTCAAATTCACATAGGTTATCGGCTAAACATTGAGCTTCATGACGAAGACCTGCGTCAGCATTTGGTGAATCAGAAATTTCTATTAACGCATTAACTATGTTATTTGTTTCATAACGCATTGCTTTAACGGCACTTACCCGGCTTTCCCAACGAGTTGTACATACTTGCTTAACAGTAAATCCTGATATATGCCTTTTAAGAATCTCTCAACGGTTCACAGAAGCCGAAAATAATACATATACCCGTTGAATTAATCCAAATAAAGAAATTGATCCTTTAGAAGACGATGCAGCATCAGCAACAACTAAATTCAAAGAGTGACAACTGCATGGAATATAAAATGCTCTTGGGTTTATATTTAATAATTTTGCCTGAACTCCTTGATTTTTCCTTTCATGTTGGCCCCATTATCATATCCTTGTCCTCTGCAGTCGGTAAATTCAATATTGTTATCCTTGAGTGTTTGCAACATAAGCTGTGAAAGACCTAATCCGGTAGAATCAGTAGCAGTTTTAAAACCAATGAAATGTTCTTTTATAATTATGCTATTTCCAACTTTCTCGACAAAACGAACAGTGAATGACATTTGTTCTGATTTACTTATATCTGGTGTACAATCTGTAATAATTGAATAATATTTTGCATCATGAAGATTAGCTATAATAGTATCACGAACATTATTAGCCATTAAGTTTATCAATTGATCTTGAATTTCATGACTGCAGTAATGTTTTCTATTCGATTTTTTAGATATTTGACTTAAATGTTCTGCCATTACATCATCGTACTTACCAAGAAGTTGAACTAAGCCTAAACAATTTTCATTATTTGGTTGAAATAATTTATCAGATGTACCTCTAAACGCCATATTGTGTTGAGCGAGGTACAAAATTATACTTATTAACCGATCAAAAACTTTTGTCCAGCGAAGACTTTCCTGTTCATATATATGTTGATTTTGAGCATCTATACAAGCATTTTTTTTAGACGGGTTTCAGATTCAATCCATATGCTAGTAGCAATAAAATGATGTGTAGATTTTTCATGATCACTTAATATAGACCCTATATGCTTCCAATCATTACAACCCCTGTGTCCTAACGATGTTCCACTATCTGGCTTGAATAGTTTGCAGCAAAAACAATATACTTTATCAGAAGTTTTTGAATAAATTAACCATCGTCTTTTAATTTTTTCAACATTTTCACAACTACGATATACATGAAAATTAGAAAAATGCCTTTTATGCTCATCTAGCGGATAAGATATATTTTCAAATATTTTTTTTGGACCAATCATTACTATTCTATCTATAATATTACGTTTCATATTTATTGCTAATGGCCACTCGGCTGGATTTTCCAAATAACTGACATCACAAACAGTACTTTCATTTAGAACATCTAAGTCGTCGTCAAATCTGAGTTCATCATATTGTGTTTGAATTTCATTTTTTTCTATGTCTAAACTAGGTTTTTGTTTATAGGTACCACTATCCATTAATTCGGAATCAAAAGTTTCATTTGATTTTTCAAAAGATTCTATTGGTTTGTTATCAATAGGTTTAAAGAACTTTTCCATACTATTTTGTTCCTTTTTTTTAGCAGCGATTTCCTCTGCCTTTCGTTTTCTATTCTGTGCTCCCGAAAGCTTTTTTCCCATTTTAATTAAATATTCTGTAATATTATATGAAAACTGAAAAGTTAACAATAAAAATATATATTAGAGAGGAGTAAATTGAACTGAATTATAATGAATATTTTTATATTCAAATACATACGTATAAGTTTTGACATATAACTTATATTTATATAATAATGTCAATGATTTATGCTGAATAAATAAAAACTAAATACTAAAATATTATGTATTTTGTACCTAATAAATATATAAATAAATATATAATAAACCTAATAATAAAAAAATGTTATTAAATAAGAATATAACTTAGTACGTATTAAGAGGACGTCATACCCGCATGTGTTGTCTCCGTCATATTTTCTATGTTACGCACTTGTAAGACGGAGACAACACATGCGGCTATGACGTCCTCTTAAGTATAAAATTTAATTTTTAAACATTTTCCTGTACTGGCTATCAAATACTACGTTTATATGATCGCGTTAAAACGGTTTAAAATTAAATCGGTTTTAAATTCTTAAACTACATACCTATACCGCGGTTATACATGCACAGCTAAAACCGATTTAACTCAATTCGAATTAATTAACTCCCGGAGTTAAATGCATGTAAACGATTGTTAATTCAGTTTAATACCAATTAGGTTTACCTAAAACGGTTTAGTTGATTCATATTTGAAATGCGCATTGGAAATAACTACGGGAGTACAAAATGCATGTAAACGTAGTGCGAGCGTTTTAACTTTTAAAACAGTTTACATTTTTTAAACCATTTTAACGCCATCATATAAACATTATAAACGTAGTAAATATTGTATTACCAGCGAATAGCGATAGTATAAATTATAATACAATGTTTACGTTTTGCTATATTTAACGGCAATAACATGTCGGTATACCGATGAAACTAATAAATAAACTTGAATGTACCTATTAAATCCAAATCGTAGTTGAGGTAGAGACAAATAGTAATCGTAGTCAAGGTAGAGAAACACAGTGAAACAGTAAACGTGTAAAACAAAATTGTACAGGACTTAGTAATAACAAATGGCAGTATGATACTAGTACAACACGTACACTGTACGCAATTAAATAACCAAATATGATATTATCTGTTATAATATGTTACAGAAATAATCGATAATGTTAATCGCAACGCCCAATGCATTTTGTCGCGTCAGTTGCTATCTGATGCTATTAATATCTAAATTCCAAATAAATAGCGATTACGGTCGGTCTGCCGATTTGGTCAGTCTGGCCCTGATAACGCGGTTTAATGTAAATTATGGAGTTCCCGATCGGTTGCGTTTTATCGGCAGCCGAAAAAACGCATAGTGTGATCCGGCACTAATAATCATTTATCACCGTGCCTTCCAAAACTCAGCGTTGTTCAATCAAAATGATAATATCCGTTCCAAAACTCATCAATTGAAAAATGTTTTATTGTTGGATCTTGTTCCAAAATTCAGCGTTACCAACTAGATTTCAATCGGATCCAACATAAAATTTTAATGATTTTTCTGATTGAAATTTATTATCAGTAATCAGTATTATGATAACACAGTATTTTTTTTAGTCGATCTGGAATTGGAATTCTCGATTATAATTTGTTTTATTTTTGAGTTTTGACTTATGTAGTTTCGTATAACAAGTATTAACTATAAAGTTAATATTGAGTAATAGTGAACTAAATAATTAATTTAATTAGGTATCTCATATCTGCAATGCTTCAATTCATTGGATTCGTTGAATACGAAGGTGTTGGGCGTATATGGTCTGCAGATAAACTTAATATACTGTGCAATGTAGAAAATGGCAAGTATACTTTTTCATGTTCTTACATCAATAAATATATTTATGGATTCTAATTTATATAGCTTAATATTTTATTAGATGATGGTATCCAACAAATTATGATGGATGTTAATGTTTTAATTAGCAATGGGATCGATGTTGAAGAAAGTCAACCAGTAATATGTACTGATTCCCAAAACATAGTTCAGGACGATGAACCTTCTTTTGTCGACAACACTAAAGGTTAATTAAAATCCCTAATATCACTTAGACATAAGCACTTCAAATCTCACAGTTTATTATATAATAGATTGTTTTACTCCAATATAATAATAATAGCTTTAGAATGTGATATACATAATTGATAATAAATTATAAAAATAAAAAGACTTACAGCTCCTTCATAAGCGCAATTTCAACTTTTGACTTGGTGGGGGGGGGGGGTGAATATATTAAAGACAAGCACACCCTTACAAGTTACAATATAGCATTTTTAAATTGTATGTCCTAGATTTTTGGGTTGGCTAAGCCCTCCCAAGCCCCTCCCCAATTTGCGCCAATGATAGTCTGTTATGAGGGGTTTATGTAAGTTCAGTTAAAAAACAATTTAAGAAATGAATAAATTAATGATTAAAGATACTCATTATAGTATTATATGATTAATTAAAAATTGACTGTTGTAAAATCAACATTTTTTTATATATAATTTCAGAACATTTACATTATTTATAAATTTTATAAATATGATAAATATTAATTTTAAGTTATCTACTTAGTTTTAATACTTAATCCCACTATGGCATTTATCTTAATATATATACTAAAGTTGGCGCACCATATTATTACCTCAGAAAGGTATTTTTTATTTTCAAACTTACAAAAATAAATATCCTAATTTAATTTTCAGATGCATTTATATGGAACAAAAACCTTGTGACTTTGCTCATTGAGACACGTATTGAAATGGACACTTCCTTTCAAGGAAACAAATTCAAAAAAAATGTACTATGGACAAAAGTTGCTGAAAAATTAAATACATCTTTTCCAAACCATGCACCTGTCAGTGCCGATAAATGTGATTCAAAATGGAGAAATCTCTGGGTTACGTACAAAGCTAACGTGAAAAAGTCAAATTTATCAGGAAGAGACAGTGTCACTTGGGAATATTATGATGTTCTTGATGAACAATTCGGAAACAAACCAAATGTACGGCCTCATCCAAGTACTTTAATAAGTACACTAAATTCATCTTATGCTTCTAATGAAGATGATCGCCATTTAGAATCCCCTGATCAAACACTAAATGAATCTACTGGTCAATCTGATAATATAAAAAACAATAATACTACCATTAGAGAGACCAGGCAAGAAAATTATAAAAAGATGAAGACTGGGTATGGAATGGCTGATTATATAAATTTAAAAAAAAAAGAACTAGAAAATCAAAATGAAATTCAAAAAAAACTATTGCTTCTGAAAGAAAGAGAGGTAGATGCATTGTGCTTAATGTCTCAAGCTCTCAAAACTATGGCTGATAAAGCAAGCAACATATGATTTTCTTAGTTTGAACAATTACCCAATCAGTTATGTTATGTATATTTTTATTTTTATTGACATTTTCTAAATCATAAGTCTGATTTATAAAGTAGTAAACATGTATTTTATTTTTATTTAGTTTTTAATAAATCTAAGTCTGATTTATAAAGTTGTAAACTATCTAATATTATTATGTTGATTCATACAAATGTCAATTATGTTTTTTAACACTCATAATTTTAGAAATGTTATTAATTACCATATCAGTTATATTATGTATTTTATTTTTATTTAGTTTTTAATAAATCTAAGTCTGATTTATAAAGTTGTAAACTATCTAATATTATTATGTTGATTCATACAAATGTCAATTATGTTTTTTAACACTCATAATTTTAGAAATGTTATTAATTACCATATCAGTTATATTATGTATTTTATTTTTATTTAGTTTTTAATAAATCTAAGTCTGATTTATAAAGTAGTAAACATGTATTTTATTTTTATTTAGTTTTTAATAAATCTAAGTCTGATTTATAAAGTTGTAAACTATCTAATATTATTATGTTGATTCATACAAATGTCAATTATGTTTTTTAACACTCATAATTTTAGAAATGTTATTAATTACCATATCAGTTATATTATGTATTTTATTTTTATTTAGTTTTTAATAAATCTAAGTCTGATTTATAAAGTTGTAAACTATCTAATATTATTATGTTGATTCATACAAATGTCAATTATGTTTTTTAACACTCATAATTTTAGAAATGTTATTAATTACCATATCAGTTATATTATGTATTTTATTTTTATTTAGTTTTTAATAAATCTAAGTCTGATTTATAAAGTTGTAAACTACCTAATATTATTATGTTGATTCATACAAATGTCAATTATGTTTTTTAACACTCATAATTTTAGAAATGTTATTAATTACCATATCAGTTTTATTATGTATTTTATTTTTATTTAGTTGTATTCACAAGTATAAAATAATAAAATTTACAAAAATTAAATTGTATTATATAAACTTCTACAGATATCATCACGACACGTTTCTTCTTCTATTTGATTATAATCAACAGCTTCTCGTTCATGTGAATCATAACCATCTTCGACTTCAACATATTCTTCAATATCCTCCCCTAAAAAAAACCATGATTGACCAACCAAGCTGACAGTACATATAATATTTTACCTTGTTTAACACATAAGTTGTGTAGAATACAACATGCCACTGTAGTTTTAGAAACTAATGTAATATCAGTTGATTCAATTCCTTTCAAACGTCTAAAACGTCCTTTTAAACCTCCAAATGCTTGCTCAATACAAGTTCTTGAAGAAGAAAGAACTGTATTAAAAAACTTTTGTTCTGGTGGCATTAGTATTGAACGACGATAGGGTTTCATCAAATACTTTGTAAGTGGATATGCAGAATCACCTAATATATAATGCTCGTTTGGTAAAAGTAATCTAGGGTTGTCTTCTAAAGCCTGATATAATGGACTATTTGAAAAGACATATGCATCATGACAGGATCCAGGGAATCCTACAAAAGCATCAATAAACATTCCTAGAATAGAAAAAAAAGATTATTTAAACTAAACTAAATTATATATTACCATGAATAATCATATTATTAGATTTCAAACTTGACGAGAAATGTACTGATTTTACAATCAGTCACAGGCACTGGAATTTTTTCTTAAAATATATCTTTACTTGACTTCAAATGTTTTATTCATATAATTAATTAATATTTACCTTCAAAATTACAAACTGCTTGTAGATTTACACTATGGTATCTATTCCGATTAAGATAGCTATTATCTTTTATATTACCACTGATACGAATATGAGTGCAATCAACTGCAGCAAAAGCACCAGGAAAAGGAATATTTCTCAAATTTTGAAAGCCTACGGAATTACGTACTCTTTCAGCTCCTAAAAATATTAATATTATGTAGTTTGGTGAGTTATGGGACAGTTCAATCAAAATTAGATTAGAGTGTAGTTGACATAAATTTGTATAAAATACTTTTTAAAAATATTTCAAATACATATACCGAATACTTAAAAAAAAGTATTCAGAATATGTATTTGAATACTTTATGATAATGATATTCTTAAGTATTCGGAATACTTCACAAAAAGTATTCCAAATATTTTTCTAATACTTTTTTTTATTAGATTTAGATTTCAATAACAAAAATATTAATTTTTCAATTCTGTATTTAAAAATGAACATTATTATAATTTCAATAATACACACCTATCTGGCTAACTATGAGTTATAAATTATATTCAAATTAATATAATTAATAAGTAATAATTAGTAATGTATAAGAGTACCTATATATACCTATATTATAGTACCTATATATACCTAAATGTATAAGAAAAAAAGTATTCAAAATACCATATTGAATACTTTAAAAAAAAAGTATTTAAAAAGTATTTGGAATACTACCCAAGTCTGGACATAATGTACCTTGAGGCCAAACTATGTATTTGTGACGAAGATTGTGAATAGCATCAACAGTTGAAGTGAAAATTCTGTGAGCGCTTGATTCACTTACCCCAAACCGTTCAGCTACTGATCTAAATGTCTCTTTTTCATTGGCTAAAACCCATAATGTCAAGAGCAAACGACGATCAATTGCAATAGGGGTTCGCCTACAACTGTTTCAGCTGGTGGTAATTGCATAAGCAAAAACTAATATAATAAAAATGAATAAAAAATAAGATACATCAAGTTAAAGAGAGTAAATATTAGGTAGGTACTAGGTACTTACTTCAAATGTTGATGGTAACAAGCGAAAGTGGAACTTAAATTCTGCTGGAGTCTGTCTGTAAACAGTTGCCACATAATTTTTAATTTTTTGCCTCTCCTTAAAATCACTAAGTGCTCTAGTTTTATGAAACTTTGAGAGACATTTTAGGATAAGTAGTTCATCTACTTCTGACGACTTTGTTAATATATCAGACTCAATGTTCATTCTTCTTAAACTCATAACGCATTGTATGCTCCCACAAATAATTGAGTCATTTAAACTCATACTTTAACCGTGTTCATTTATAATAGTGCAATTGTATTCTAGTATTCTACCTATATAGTATGAAATGTCAAATTAAATTGACTATTGATTCATAAAGCGAAATTCCGGTATTCGGGTATTAAAATATATTTGTCAATATTGATAAAATGATAACATGGCAAAAATGTTGCCATCACACTATCATGTTCCGTAATTCAACGCAATCTAGATATTTCGGTATCCAACAACCATCAAACAGCGTTTCTATCATTGTTGAATTTTGGAAGTACCCCTCATTTATGGACTAAATTATTATACACCAACCATAATAAATAATAATCAATAGAATGGATAGAATATTATAAGTATAACTATATTCCTATATTTTTTTCAGTTTTAACATTATATCATTGAGGCGCCCCCCTTTCAACAATCGCCCTGGGCGTAGGCCCTGGTTGCCCACCCCTAACGCCGGCCCTGCTTACGTCTTATGTGTTAAAGTTTTAAAGTTAATATTTTGTTAGGTCTGTTGTTAACTTGTATACCATTATGCCGAGTTGTTATATTTGTGGTCGTACGAGAAATTCTGGTAGCAAAGATCTTAGAATAAGTTTCCATCAGTAAGTACCTTTAAATAAGTACCTTGTAAATTATTTTGACAATTATCGCAATTAAATTTTTTATAACATTTATATATAGGGTATCCAGCAAAATAAGTGACTGAACAATCTTCTAGGGTGATCCTGTCTGTTTGAATTTCATCTATACGCTTTAACTTATTATCAGATGAACTCGAAGAAATACTTGATTCGTCATCAGAATATGTTTCTATAGTTTCTGTGTTAGATATTTTATCTACATCGATTGATATAAAATCATTTGTGTCTTGCGATGGTTCACAGTTAGTTGCTGTGGAAGCACACAAAGAAAAAATACAACTACTTCTAATGGAAGTCCTTATTGTCCTTGCAGTTGGATTTTTATTATAGCCCCCTTTCTGCCGAAAAATACTAAATAAATTTTCAAGCTTATCTTGATTGAGTAGATTTGTCATTAAAAAAAAATGTCATTACATTTTTCATCCTCAAAAAATTGTAAAATAGCATTAATAGTTTGCGTTAATCCTTTAAAGCATGGAGGTTGTGAAATTTTTCCTTTTTTGATTTTTTTCAAGTTTATAAAATATTTTGAAGCATTTATTAAAAAAGTTTTGACAATTCCAGTATGCGTTAGTGCGGAATTGTATGGATTATTACAATAAAGTGATCTACTATTTAAACAATCAAATAAATTGTTCATAAATTCAATAAAATCTGTGGTATCAATTGCGGTTTTACTGCAAAGTTGACCAGTTTCTGCACATGTATAACTGACGACATCGAATGGCTTAAGAGTTGCACAGCCAACTTCACACGCATTTTTGAAAAGACGTTGGATGGATATGTGCATCAGTGATTTTACTAAGAGCATTACTTTTTTTACTTTGTTTATCTAAATCATAAGTATCTTTAATGCCTTTGTATGAAAAAGTTTTATCGTTATTTTGAAAACAAGCTTCAATGAAATTGTTACGAACACTTTTGAGTAAATGCGGAACATCAAATAAAGAATATATTTTATGACTATTCACAATAAAAAAACGGATTTGTCTCATTAACATTTAACAATTTTAAAGCACTTTGATTTGATGTCCCTTGATCACATACTATGAGTTTCGGGCATAAGCCAATATCAAATAGTTTGTTTAAAATGTCAACAATTAAATCTTTTAAAATTTCTTTTTTTACACCAGAATTAGAAAGATAATATGCAACAGGAAATTTCCATTTAGAATATATACCACTTGCTAAAAACACTAATACGCAGCTCGCACATTTATTCATTCTACCGTAAGTTCCTAAATCTTGAAATCCTTCAATAAAATCATACTGTTTAGAATATTCTAAAAAATCTTTGATATACATTTCATCAAAACCAACGCTACATGCCTTCTCTTTATAATTCTTGTGCTCAAATTTTTTTTTGAACATGATCAAAAAAGTAACCATTGAAACCAGGTAAAAATTTTGATTCTCCAATCCAGCGTCTAATGGTTGACGGAGCAGGTAAATTAATTTTTTGTAGGAGTAAAAAATTATATGCAGTTGGGGATTTGTAAAAAAAAGTAAAAGCTAAATTCCTCTCCGCAGTTGTCCATGTACGACGTTTGTTTTTTATCTGCATAGTTACTAATGCCCTAGAGTTACTGGATGGAAATTGATATGCATTTGTAAGATTATTTAAATTATTTCGAATTTTAAATTTAGAAGCATAATTTTTTAATTTACAAATTTGGCTATTTTTATTTTTGATGTCTTTCGATTTTTTTTTTAATTTGTTGCTTTAATTTTATTTTTCTGGGCGTATCGGGATCTTTATCATATGAATGTTTTCTTTTAAAACTTGGACTAGGCATATCAATTAAATCGGAAATATTTTCTTTTTGTGGTGTAGATATAATTGAATTAGGACTAGCAAATATTAACTATACTTCAGCACTGGTTTTTTATTTATAATTTATTATAAGTTTTGGTTGGAGTCAATAATGTTAAATCTTCTTCATCTTCTGTTTGATGTGACGTTAAAAAACCTTGAAAAATAATTTTAATACATTTTTCAGTAATAATGTCTACTTGCTATTAAATAATATGTGCAGTGTCATAAAGGAGCACAGGTTAAGCTAAGTACATGACAATTTACCAATTTCAAAAAGGTGGACAAGTGGATGTCACTCTACTGTACAGTAGGTAGGCAAGTGGGTGTTGCTCTGCTGTACAGTAGGCTACAAGTGGGTTACTGCATAATGGATGGTATAAATTTTAATTCGATGATAAAATATATATATTATTGTATAAGAAAAACGATTCAGAGCGAAGACGGTCAGTCAGCCTATGATATACTTATATTACTAAGTACCTATACGGGCTATATTTGATAATATTATTGTGAATAAAGTGATTTATATAAAATCGATTACGTGGAACCTGTTGTTTTACATTTTTAATCCTTAGCTATAAAAGTTGAACGTTTTATACATTTTTAACTACTAAATAATTAATTGTAAATACTCAATTTGATAAATTTCATCTAAATTCGATCTTTAAATGCTTATAAAAAAAAATTGTGCGTATGTATTTTTAAAATTGTTCAATTGTTATTGTAACAATATATCAGGACCCTTGTATTACATTTTTACACTTTTTGGCCCAACAGGTAAAACTTTATTGATATTCATTAAAAAAAAAACTAAAAAAATTTAAAACTGACAATGTCCGTAAACCGCTCATACAGAGTAATACTATTTTTAAAATTTAATGGTGTATAGAAAGTGAAAATATAAACATTCAGTAAAATTTTCAAGTATCTAAGGTAATTTATTTTTGAATTACAACAAAATAACAAAATCGCTACATGCGAAATCGATTGAATATCCAATCTTGTAAAAATATGAACTTCAAACGCTCATAAAAATTTAATTTGATTTGCTTGTAGCCTTTTTTTTTGATAAAGGTAGACAAACCTATGAGGAATCTTGTATTACATTATCAAATCTTAGATTTAAAAAGAAAAATTTTTATGAATTTCTAACTCAAAATTTTCGTCGTTCTTATGTATTTTGTCAATATTTGAACTTTAAATGCTTATAAAAAAAAATTGTGACTAGGGATTTTTAATTTTTTTCATCTGCCTTTGAAACAATATACTAATTACTAGGAGCCTTCTATTAAATTGTCAAGCTTTTTTAACCAACAAATAAAATTTAATTGATAATTTTAGAAAAAAAACTAAAACAAGTGGAAACTGAAAATGTCCGTAAACAGCTCAAAATAAGTCAAAATATTTGGAAAATTTTATGGTGCATAGAAATTGCTAATATTAACATTCAGTCAAAGTTTCATGTACCTACTACGGTTATTTGTTTTAGAATTACATCAAAAACCAAAATCGATTTTTTCGAAAATAGATTTTGCGTAAAAATTCCCGTTTTCCATAATTTTCCTTTTGTTTTTCACGGCGCTTTTGAAAACTACTGGGAAATTTTTACTTTTGACCTCCAACTAGATTCACTTTCCTATCAGAAACAATACTGTTGAAGAAAATCTAAGCATTTTTACTGTCCTAAAAGGTACAGACACAAAAATAAAAATAAAATAAAAAACACACATCATTGTAAAATCAATACATTCACCGTTTCACTCAGAATCTTAAATTAAAAATCATAAAAATTTGTGAACTCTAAAATATGCCTCACTTGATCCCGGTCCTTTCCTACATATTAAAATGATTATTTCTTACCAAATGACGTAGACGGTTGATTTTCAACTAAAGAATTAAATTTAAACGGAACTGCCGTTGGTTTTAGTTTTTTTTTTATCGTACATAAAAATAAAATCATCCGGGCTAAAATGTTCTTGGCAAAGGTATCTACTGTGTAGCTTTCCACATCCAGTGAAAGTAAACTAACATTTCCTATTAAATAATTGGTGATAATTAATCAAATTAGTAACTATTTTTTTTATAGTTTAATATTTTAAAATGAATTTAAAATACATAATTAATAATAACTTGTAAGTATATTATTTACCAGAATTTATTGCCCAGATTTCCGATATTATTCTGTCTTTTGGAAACCGAAACATGCTTAGTCCAGGATACTTAACAGTATTTTTAAAGTAATTAAAATACTGGCATTCATTACCAGGCATTATTAAAACAATATAAAATATAAATCTCAAATTTTAAATAATAAAATAGTATGGTACATGGAAACAATATAATATTATTTTGTTTGAGACGTTATACTACGAATGTCTATTTGTGATATTGTGAACTCTTCAACTGTAAACTGTATACAATTGTCATTATAATAATTATGGGCATTATAATATTGTGACCTCAAATTTATTAATAAATATCATGAATATTGAATAACAATGTCGTTGGCCGTCACCGGTTGCCCGCCGCCGCCCGCCAAAACCGATACTATGGCAAGGTAAGTTCCCCACCGAGCTGACAGCAACGACAACAGCGCTCTGTAGCACGGAATCGGTTGCCACTATTTAATACAACATGGCTTATCTGTATATTATAAAATCAATGCTACTACTGTACTAGATTTGATCATATTATACTATTATACTAATACCATTGATTATACATATAAGTATTTATAATCAATGCTAATACCTACGTATAACGTATATTCGTCGAAAAACAAATAATTTTTATTTAGAATTTTAGTCAAGACAGAGCGGCATACACGGTATACTCTATCTTACCGTCTGTTTCTGCTTGTAATAAACCGTACAAAGAGCAGCTGAGTGTGATGTCCACCGGGTAGTATCTACTCTTTTTAGTCTTTGCAGTGGCTTTCCAGGATATATTTTTCTTTGGGATGCCGAGTAAAGTCCTACTCGCTTCTTACTACTGCCTATATAATCATAAAGGGTTTCCAATATACCAAATAAGTATCTAGCTTGTGAACAGGAACTTACAGCATCGACTATAACCAAATTAAATTTGTGTGCCCAACACCAAACGTAAGTAGCTGATGAATTATGCTCTTTTACAATAGTTTGTAAGCCGTTGTATGCACCTCTCATTGAGGCAGCACCATCATAAGATCGCCCAATTAGATAAGTTTTCCAATCTAAACATCTTTACGTATATCATCAAGAACTGTAAATAAATGTTGACCGGTAGTCATTAATGTTTCTCTAACAGCTATCAACCATTCACAGACTACACCGTTACTTTTATTTATATACCGAATAACCAGTGACAATTGCTCTTTTCTTGACACGTCAAATGTGGTATCTAAAGATAAACAAAAAATTTAGCATTCAAAATTTCATTTTTTTTGTATTACAAATATTAGTTGCAATAGCTAATATCAACTGATTTTTCCGATTCCATGATCCAAAATTGTGTGGATGTTTTCCCCTAATTTGGACTTCAGTTAAATGACATGATAATGGAGGTGAATACTTTGCCAATAAGATAGCTAAATCTTTAAAATTTCCACGAACATCATCTTTCCAACCCTCTCTATGACCTCTAAAAGGTAAATAGTGTCTCCCCAAATACAACACTATGTCAATTAAATGTCTGATAACCTCCTTGTTCTGTACTATTTTTTTCATTTAATTTCTTTTAATGAAGGAATAACTGGAAAGCATCTTCCTTATATGATGCTTTAATTGAAGCAAATACATGATTTTCAGTTATTTCATGTCTCATAATTTTAATAGGGCCACTTTTCCATTCTGAAAACCCATCACACACCCAATGACATTTTCTATTTCTTCCAAATAGCGCACAATTAAGACAATACAGTCGATTTTGAATTTTTGAATATCACATCCACTTTCTTCAAATTAGGTTTCCAATTTCTTCCAGTAATTTTGGTAATTTTGGTAATTTTTCCAAAACCAGTTATCGTGGAACGATCTCCCATGAGAATCTTTTGGAAAACAGTTTTTGGGTATGTCAAAATATTTCTCAAAACAATTTAAACATCATTTAAATTCCTAAATTTTTTTATTTTGAAACCGAATTCTTAGTCAAATAATGATAAAATATATAACCGACGTCCGACAAGTTAAACCTCAAAAATATTGCCCTCTATGATTTTAGCAATAGGTGATTTTACTCTTTATATTAGTGGGTTTGAGAGAGAAAACGAATATTGCTCATAAAATAAAACATTTCTCTTAAAAGTAAAATTTAAATACTATAATAATATATACTTACCGTTTTTATTTGTTTTGATAAAATAGTTTAACCCGTCTAAACTTCAGGACCCTCCATTATGTTTTATTTTTCCAATATTGATTCAACACATTGTTTGAATTCTCCTTCTACATCTATTTCAACTGATTTAAACATTTCTATAGACTCCGGAAATATAATACCTGAGATTTGTAAACAAACAGAATTATTAAGTCAATAGATACGCTCATTATCAACAACGACTTTATACCAGTATAGT